AAGAACCTTATTTTGCTTTTTAACTTAAATCTTAACACAATGTACAAGTTATTTAAATAATAAAATACACATCAACATACAAATCAATGAAACAATATTGCAGATAGGTATAGATATTCTTCTTCTTTAAAAATTAAGACTTAGAAGTGTAAACGTTTTATAGCTGACGTTGATGTGCTAAACTAAAGTGTTTGGAATTGGCTGCCTCCATCTCATTAGAAATATACAGTATTAGTCAAAGGTCTTGAGAAACCCTGAGATAAGTATCAAAATTCACTATGATAAACAAGTAGCCTAATGTTTATTTTCTGCAAAAATGAAAACATCTTAGTTAGAAACTGCAGAACGAAACATAGATATAGGCAAGGAAGGTTTGTCAAGCTGGAAGATTATGGTGCCCCATGTCAGGTAAGAATAGATAAAACCATCCATAGATATTAATAAATAAATCCCCAGATACCAAGGTAGCCCTCTAAAATAACTAATGCAACTCCCTAGATGCAAACATATAAGAATGGCTTACCCAAAAGAGCATATTAGCTTTCCTCAGCTTGATATAGCAATAGCATTTAGGCTTATATACAGATCCATAGCGCTTTACAGCATTTTCTAGGTGGTTTACAATGTAAGCTTATTTGCATTTGGCCGCCTCATTTGGATCCTCATTTTGACCTACCTTGGAAGGATGAGTCAACCTTGAGTCCCATCAGGATCGAACTCCTAGCTGTGGGCAGAGTTTACCTGCAATAGTGCACTTTAACCACTGTGCCACCAGGGCTCATATCTCTTTATAGTCATGGTGCCTGTGAATCTTGTCATTTACAGATAGGCACATCTGGGGTATCTCAAAATAGAGGATGGTTGCTGTAAACCAGCATGGCACAAGGAGCCTGGTCACTATAACTGGAGGCCAGTGGGCACTCTTTTCAATCTAATATCTTAGAATTAAACTTCACCTGGCAATAGCAGATCTTTGCTCCCATTACTTAAAAGGAAATTGGGGGAAAATGTCATGTTGAAAAGTTCACAATCCTCCCTTCTATACATATTCAGAGCCCTGGTTTTCGAGTGTTTTTCTTTAAGACTATTGATTTACCATACCTGTAATACAATAGAAGTTCTGAATTAAAATACTCAGTTCCCACTAATGCTGGGCTCAACAATCTTGCAAATTCTTACAGTCTTCCTCTAATTAAGGTTGCTGAACATCAGTGCAATGTTTTAATAATGTCTAAGCAGGCCTTCTCTCTCTTTTCTTTCTTTCTCTGTTCACCTATCTCTGCTTCAATTCCGTTCAGTTTTGTGGCCTCCTTTTCTCAGTAGATCAGTACTACTAGCTCATAATAAACATGCCCTTCACAAATCCATCCAATCCCATTTTAAAGCTATTCAAGAAAATTGCCATCAACACATCTTGTGATAATGAATTTCACAGGTTAATTTCCTTTCTTCCCAGTGCATTAAATCCTTCCTCTTATCCCATTTTCATCCTGTGTTTTCTTCTTTGTGGAAGTAGAAAAGGCAGAGTAGGTATGTTTGTGTGTTTCTATATGCGTAACAGAATGGCTGATATATGCACCTGGGGACCAATTAATGGGGATACTTTATTTTACAGGCAATTAATTTTAATCAGTAGTTATTACTTCAATTATTTGGAGTATTTTTTTTTCTTTTTGCCCTGTGCTTTTTGGGCGGATACATACATATCCAAGAGACACATGTACACATTTACATTGGAGAGGGAAATCTCCAAGGCTGGTTTCTGCTGGAGTTGGGAATCTTGGAATAACAATAACTCTCAGTAGAGCTTTCCTACAACTTTCTTTCTTTTTCTTTTTCTTTTCTTTCTTTCTTTCTTTCTTTCTTTCTTTCTTTCTTTCTTTCTTTCTTTCTTTCTTTCTTTCTTTCTTTTTCTTGTTTGCCAACACTGGGTTGCCTATGACATTTCATCCTTTTAACAACTGATAGTTGTATACAATTGTATATTATATTTCTGAATATGAAAGATTTGCTTACTGGAGCTTATGATGACTATGGGTAGACTTCTTTTCTTTGCTATAAATTAATCCATCTAAGGCAGTGGTCATTATAATGTAGTGTGGCACCATGTTCCATTAAGTTTTTTTAAAATGGGAAAAATATATCAGGTATTTTGTGTGTCCCGAATTTGGGATTTAAGCATGGGTAACATGACGTTGGATGAGAGAACAATCAATATAAACAACTACAGACTGGTTTTAAGAAAAATGTCACTTTCATTCTAAACAGTTTATCCTTTTCATCATCTAATATCACAATGACCTTAGCCATATACACCCATTGACATATTCTACCAAATTAACACAATCCTTATACCTGCCAAAAATATTCTGCTAGACCAGAGGTCCCCAACCTTTTGGGCACCAGGGACCGGTTCCACGGAGAGAGGTTTTTCTATGGACTAGAGGGGGCATGGTTTTGTGGGCTGCCTGCATCTCACGGGTGGAGTTTGCTTGTTTGTGAGGACTGGTTGCTGGCATGCCGTGGCCCAGTACTGGTCCACGGACCGGGGGTTAGGGAACCTTGTGCTAGACCACACCACTTGGCTCAAGCTATTATATTTTGAAAACTATGGTCAAAGCTTGATACTCGATTGCTTTGAAACTTGTTGAATCTCAACACATTTTGATGTAAAAATTTTGTCCCAATACTCTTCTTTTGTTTGGTACTTGATGTGCAAGCTAGAGCTTGTCAGTGTTTCTGCCTGGTGACTTGCTACCATTTCCAACTTAAACAAAGGGTGATGCATTAGTCACATGATTTGTTTGGTACTTATTTTAGCATTCGTCACTTCTCCCAGAACCAATTAAAGATGGTAGCACTGTATCATATTTGAACAGATGCGAAGACCCAGCTCTCTTGAAAAGTCCAAATTGTTGGGAAAGATAGGATGGTAGAAAAGAAGAAGATGAATAGTAAAATGTGGATGAATTCAATTCAATAGATGCACCATTGGAAGGTTAGACTGAAGATAAAGATTGATATGCAGTATGTGATCACTAAAAGTTGACAGTAACATTGATGGCACACATCAGTCAAGATCAAGCTGCTGACAAATAGAAACTACAGTAGGCTACTGTACTATAAACCCTTTCTGAAGTAATAAGGTTGAGAATAGGAAGTTTGTGAATCTCTTCATATATTTTTGGATTACATCATTTTAGCTATATGCTGGTGAAAACTAGATTCTAACGCTGGAATGTCATTAAGGTATTGGGGGAACTTTAAATACATGCATTAGCAATAGCAATAGCACTTAGATTTATATACCACTTCACAGTCTTTACAGCACTCTCTGAGCGCTTTACAGAGTCAGCATATTGCCCCCAACAATCTGGGTCCTCATTTTACCGACCTTGGAAGAATGGAAGACTGAGTAAACCTTGAGCAGCTCAGAACCGAATTCCTGGAGGGAGTAGTGAGTTAGCCTGCAGTACTGCATTCTAACCTCTGCAGTACCACAGTTCTGAATGACTTTACTGGTGTGAATAATTTGAATTAAATCCCACAATCTATGGGGTTTATTCCCAAATATTCATAATACTTATATTAACCAGCAAAGGTTAACATAAAAATCACATAAAAATCATAATTAGTCATAATATAGTCATTTTCTCTCCCTTTGGAAAATAGTTTTGTTTGCAATAAAAAAAATCATATCTGGTTCTTCTTGGAATATCTAACCATCTGCAAATACAATGAGTGCAATAAGAAGTCTAGTGTACTATTTCAGGTTTTACATTCATATTACCTCAATTTTTTTTGCAAAAAAGCACAAACCCTTCCTTTAACTTGCAAAGGTGAGCAAATCTACAATTCTCATTACAGTTTTAATAAATGTAAAAATTGCACATTGTAAATGTAGCAAATAAATTTAATAAATAAATAAATAAAATTCACCATCATACTTAAAGTGTCTATTATGTATGAAACAGAAATGTCTGTATTGATGTTATCAGTGGATCATGCATACCAATAAAACTAGAAAAAGTAGTATGCACGAATGTATGAAACAGCATACATAGTAGCTGTTTTAATCCATACACATTTAACTTTTTCCATAAACTTCTCATTACGTTTCTTCTTACTTTTTAGTCTGTAAGTTAATCTTCATGTCAAGCAAAGTAACAAATGAAATCAAGGGATATGATTGTGCACTGGTGGAATTCCAAAGTCAGTTGGCTTTGCCTGGTGGAGCAACAGGCAACAACCAAGAGGGTTTATTGTCTAGCTAGGATTCCATTTCTAAATTTGAAATGTATCACAATGGTTATGGGATAACTGAGTTCTCAATTTCAAGATCTATGTTGGCAGAAAAAAGAAGAGTGAGGGCCTTTAGAGATGCTACCTCCAGGGACCAGACAAAATGCAAATTCTTGGTGCATGTTTAAAGTCTATAGCTGCTGCTGGTATCTGCGGGAGCCTGATCCCCTATCAAATGCCACCTCTCCTGATTATTTGGGATCTATTCCAGACCTTCATGCGTCTCACTGTAGTGCACAATAGAACCCAGCCCACCCAGAGGCCTTTCATAGTGTTGGATTCCCTAAAGGACAGTTGCTGAGAATGTAGGTCCACACATCTGGGGAACAGTCCGGATAGGCGAAAGCAGGGAGGCCGGTAGAAAGATGTGTTGAAGACCTATTCTGCCTCAAAAGTTTGGATTCAATAGTTCCCCAGAGAGAGAAAATGTATTACTCGGAGAAAATCTTTTTTTTTTTTTCCGGCTTGTTCGTTTGACTTAAACTTGTCCGATAGCAGCCGGGAGGAGGAGAGCCTCTGACTCAACAGCTTTGCGCCCCCTCCCAAGACAGCGCCAAGAGCTGAAGCAGCCTCCAACGCCAAACGAAGGGCAGAGAATGAGAAAACCGCGGGCGAGGAGGGGGAAATTTGTAGTCACCCATGCGCGATCGCCCGAGGCCCCTCCTGCCTGCCGGAGGAGCCATAAAATACCTTCGCCGAGCCGCGCAGCCCCACATTGGGAAAACTGAGCCATTGGCGAAGAAAGCGACCAATATCTATCCGGGAGAGGCAAAACAAGCGAGTCTCACGCAACACAAAAGGTGAGCAGGCGCCTGTCCCGAACCGCTCGCTTTCTTTTCGTCCCTTTCTTCTCCTTTATAGGAAGAAGCGCGCCTACTCGCGGGAAATTCGATCGGACTGAATTTCCTCGGTGCCTACTGCCTGTCCCCTGCGGGTTCCTTCAGACCGAGGGCTCCTCCTTTTCTTCGGCAACCGGTTCCTCCTGAGAAAAGCAGCTTTCTATCCAGCGCCGTTCTCTTGCGCTTTAAAAGCTCGCCGCTTTTCCCGCGCGATGCTGCGGTCCAAGCTTGGACTTTTTGTCCTTGTCATTTAGCTTCCCGGGATCCGGGTGTGGAAGAAAGGCGTCCTACCTCCTCCAAATATACTTTTATTTCCTCTAGTCTGGAAGTTGAGTCATGGCAACTGGATTTCTTTTCTTTGGGTCTGGAACATTCGCTGCTTATCCAAGTAGCTGAATAGTTGGATAAACAGCAAAATGTTTCAAACCCAAAGAAAAGAAGTCCAGTTGCCACGACTCAACTTCCAGACAGCCCTACTTGGATGACTGAGAATCTACACCGATTTATTTCCACTTCTTTCGAGAAAAAGATCCCCCTCCACTTTTTTTCTTTTTAGGGAATTGGAATTCCTTTGTTATCAGTAGTTTATGGGGGAAAGTTAAAATAATTTGAAAACAAGCCAACAAGCCGCAGTAAAATAAACAAGACTTTCAAAAGAATGTAACGTCGGGATGATATAATACCCTTGGAATATATCGGTTTCTATGTAGTTGGGGAAGGATTTGTTGGGCAGTTAGTGGTAAATCCGCATCTGTTTTTCATCAAGGGACCCCAGGGTTAATCTTTCCATTTTCACGCTGGAAGGAAAAGGGGTGTGTGTGGGGGGGGGAGGGAACTATCCTAACATTCAGACATAAATCCTAGAGCTCAGTTTTAAGCATTCCTGAATTAGCAGTGATTTGAGATTTTCAATAATTTTCAATGCCTCATTGTTATGCAACTAATGAGAATAGTTGGCACCAAATCTGCAAATTTAGTAAGTTTTCAGTTGAATTTTATAAACAAACTATAAGAATTAGGCATTTTTAAAAATGAAACTTACCCATAAGAAGATCTATTCTAGACAAACTCATACAATATTTTTATTCTGTAATCCCGTACCATATTGATGATGGGGAGGATAATTCCATGATGTTTTCTGTTTGTAATCCTATTGTTTCTTATATTTTTCTTTTTAGGGCAAATCCATTAAAGAAGGAAAAATGGAATAGCTGTACTTTGCCTTTTTGAATAATATAATAGGGTGTAGACCTCCCTGTTTCCACAGGAGAAAAGGTTTTGAACGCTTTAAAATAACAGCCACTACAAAAGAAACAGGAAAGGAATTTGATAGTAGTGTCTTCTTAATGTTTCTCCTCAGAATGTAATTTCATCACTGGGGTACAGAAGAATGATGTTTTTTTTCTTCTTTTTGTACTTAAAATAGTTCTGCATTGTTCATGAACCTCATAGCAATTTGTAATATATTAAAGCCAAACCACAAACAGGTTCCCTCTCAATATGAAATAATTATAGGGGCTAGTATGCAAGCTAATGAGGTTACAGAAGCATAGAGGCAAATTTTCATCCATCCATCCATCTTCTAGTTTTAGAAACTAGCCTCTGGGCAAGTAATTTTATTTCTTTATTTATCTACTTATGTAGACTTGTAAGCCAATCACAGATGACTCTAATTGGTGACTTAATAGAGCTGAACGAGCTTCTTCTAAAACTCTTTGCGAAGGCGAGGAGTTGGCAATCACGCATTTTCCATTCCTTCCTGGGGGGAAAGGAACAGAGAAATATTGAAATAACCCTTTGGTTGCCTCCCTCTGGCAATTTCCTGTTTTCCTACAGATGCAGGTGACCATGCGGTTCTGGCTTTCCATTATGACACTCGCCCTGTGCTTGCTGATCTGTCTGGGAACCCTGGCAGAAGCTTATCCCTCTAAACCAGACAGCCCTGGTGAGGATGCCCCTGCAGAAGACATGGCCAGGTACTACTCAGCATTGAGGCATTACATTAACCTCATAACACGGCAAAGGTAGGTACCAGGGTAACCTTCAGTGTAAAAAGGGGAGGGTATAATATGATTATGTATCATTTTTATCTCCCATTGTCTTCATAAAGTTTTTTTTATCCTGGTGTCCTCCATATTAGAAAATGAAAGAATTTGAACATAGTGTCATTTAGTTCCTAGATCATTTGTATTTTCTATTCAATTATACAGAAAAAAATGGAGAATTGTTCCAAATGCATGTTTCCCTGTTAACTTCATGGAACTGTTTTGTCTCCAAGAGCACTGGGATAGAGTTGTCAGTTTCACCTCTATCTTTCTTAATAACTGTCCAATAATCTAATCTTGGCTGGCATGTGGAATAAAGAAAGGATCTTTGTATTGAGGTCATATTTGTGATAGATCTATGTATTCTCATTTACTTTTTTTGTAACACTCTGCAGTCTTCACAACCTCCCTGACTTACACGTGAATTAGACTTTTCCAATGAGACTGTTTTCAGATTAGGAAATATGAATAGCCAGGTAGCTTCTGAATGTGGATATATATACTGTACAACAATAAAAAGCATCACCTAAAATCAGTCACACTGATTTTTAAATTACACGTTATTAAATTACACTTTAATAAATTTAAAAGCAATGAAGAATAAGGTATAAAATAGAAAATTTCTTTCTTTCAAGAAGAAAGGAGTTATATGAACCCCTGTAATAGTTTTATTGTTACCTTTTGTTAATCTATATCTGATTTTGTTAACCTTGCTCAAGTCAGGAGTTGATCATGAGAAATGGATGTTTACTCTAAGCTTGCATTATCAAAAGGAAGAAAATCCATTTTATGCCAACCCATTTTTATAGCATATGTGGTTTTGCTAATTGGAGTTCATTCCATCAACTTTCTAGACCATAAAAACGTATACAATAATAAATATATTATTCTTTATGGTGTTGAAAGACTGTTGTCTTTGCTGCAACAGACTAACAGGGTGACCATTCTAGAATGTAGAAAAAGAAGATCAATTATTTTATTTGCTCTTTGCTTGACCTCACCTTTCCATCATCAGCCCAATGTGGAGCTGTCAGTATAAATGGAATTTGAACTTTTGAAGATAAAAGTGAATGGCATTTGATCCTATCAATCCTAGGCAAACATTCTTAAGAGAAAAAGGTGAAGAGAGAGCAAGTAGAATTTAGTGTGTGTATATTGTGGAAATAAAGAATAAAACCTGTCCCCTGCTTGATCTGAAATTTTCAGATGCAAGTATGTTGTAGACTGGAACTGTGACCCTGATACTGAGCATTGCTTTGAGAGATTATTTTAATGAATGTAGTAGTGCTGTAGTACATTGCTGAAAGTGGGAAGACCTTTTTTTTCCAACAAGGTTGATCACTGACCTTCAGAAGACCATGTGAAGAAAAGCTCATGGACTGTATACACCCATCTCTGTTCTCTAAGCTCCGGTTCTGCTCCCACACTTTTATCTTTCCCTTTTTAGGAAGGAAATGTGAAGGTAAAAATTAAACAAATATTTGTTATCTAACCTCTCTACAACTTTGGTTTGATCAGCAGGTCCCCAGCCCATTTTTTACTATGTGACAGGAGAAAAACCTCAAATAATTGTAGCAGTTATGATCAAAAGTGGCAGAAACAAATGGGAATTATGTCGTATCTTAGCATTGTAAGAATCCTAAGGCATTTTATATGTGAATGATGACTCTTAAGGCTTGTATTTCAAGACTGGCCTGGGCTGATAGTTTACAGAAAGTTTCCTCACTCATCTCCAGGCACCCAGTCTTTACATAATTTTCTGGGAATGTTCCAGTAGACACAATGTGTAAAATAGGCTTCCTAGTACATATATTCACACTTGTATCATTAATAGTGGATCTCTGTATGCCAAAAAGTTATTTAACTATATATAACTACTTGCATAAATTCACAGAAATTAGTCAACTGAAAACATATTCCTATAAAATAATTTTAAATCTTTTTATAATACTTGACTTGTGTTTGTGTTTGTGCATAAAAAGGACTGTATATAGAATATACCCACCAGATCCTACAGACTGAATCATTCAAATGGGGTGCAGTCTTTGCTTAAATAACCACTTAAGGGCATTTTTATCTTAAAAGAGTCTGGATTTCCTATTATATATTTGCTGGATAGTGTGGATTCTTAAGCCTCATTGCAAAAAGAGAAATATAGGTATTCCTTGACTTACAACCATTCGTTTAGTCACCGTTCACAGTTACAATAGTACCAAAAACATGACTTATGATAGTTTTTCACCCTTATGACTGTTGCAGAATTCCCATGATCATGTGATCAAAATTCAGCTCTTGGAAACTGGAGTTATTTATAATGGTTGCAGTTTCCCAGGATCATGTGATCATCTTTTGCAACCTTCTTACAAGGAAAGTCAATGGGGAAGCCAGATTCGTTTAACAACCATGTTACTAACTTAACAACTGTAGTGATTCACATAACTGTGGCAAGAAGGTTGTAAAATGGGCAAAACTCTCTCAATAACTGTCCTGCTTAGCAACAGAATTTTTTGGGCTCAATTTTGATTGTGGGTTAAAAGTGTGCTGTTATTTGCATATACATTTTACATGCAATTTATACATAAAAATACACGTACAGTATAATTTACTAGAATTGAAACTGAAATACAATACATTGTGATAGAGATTGAACAGTTGACTTATACACTATCCTTTTCAATTGATTGTACAGGTGCAACTTTCATGCCCATTTTCTCCCTTTTGAGTCTGTTTCCTTAAAATAAACATGGCTTGGGCAGCCTGTCAAATAAAAGGTAGCATTCAGAGGACACTACAAAGAAGGGCGTACATGTTGCATGTATTTGTTAATAAATGTCATTTTAAAGGATTGCGTGATTAAGTCATAACAAGAATAGACCCATTAAAATCAAACAGATTTCTGAGCAGTTCAGGGTAGAGAGACCAGTCAAGATTTAAACTATGTTTTTTTTTAAAAAAAAATGGCTACAATACTTTATATTTTTTTCTGAGATTGCCATGTTTTAGTTAAAAAGTAGACTGTATATTGTAAAATAATTAGTTCAGATACTAGGGTCTTTAGGGTGCATTAATTTGGAATTAGCCTTTGAGGAAAAGACCTAAGAGAGAGGGAAATACAAAGCTACAGATTATTTTAATATTTCAATGTTATAATTTAAATAATAGAAATGAAACTCAGAAATAAAATCTCTTCCCTTTAATGTTTTAATACCATAAAGCAACTGGTTATGAGATATCCCATTTAGCCCCCAAAAGCATGGTTCAGTTGGACTCACCCACTAATTGATTTACAGTTCAAAACAAATAAGATTTTATTAGATTTTTCACTTACTATGGACTCTTACAGCAGGGAGAATTGAATTAGAAGCTCGGAGAATAATATTACCCATTAAAGTTGTTTTAGCAAACAGATAAATGATTATGCAATAAAATAGCTAAAAAGATTTCAGGAATTGAATAGAAATCCTTTTCTTTCAACATTTTTGATCTATTTTTATTAAACATTTTTAAAAAGGAAGTAAAAAAGTAATATAAACTAATTTAGTGAGAAAAATAAATTGAACAGAAAGCTAAAAGTATAAGAAAATGAAAAATTAATATAAAAAGAAAAAAGATACAAAGAAGTACTGGTCTTCTTTAGAGCAGCTATAAGTACAATTATAAATTTACTTCTTACTCTGGTTACAACATAACTCTGTTATTTCTATTATTCTGTCTAATCATTAAAACCTTAAATCATGTTTCCTCCTCCCCCCCCCCTTTTTTTTTTTTTGCTTTCACAATCTAGTATAAAGGGTTTCAGGAATAAATGTAGATATTGTCTTTCCTTAGATTAAAGAAGTCAATTTAGCCCTCTCAGCAAGTTCTGTCATCTTCACCAACTATTACTCCATTGTGCTAGTGCTGAATCCTTCCATCTTTGTGCATAAAGTAATCTTGCTGTAGTTATGCAAAAAAAAGTTCCATTACATTTTTCCAAAGCATTTTTAATTGCCCAGAATTGCAATTCTGTAGACCAATAGATCATGCATATAATAGCAAACAATTCCCATAAAGTATTGTCATTTTCCAATCAGCAGTTACTGCTCTTCGAAGCCTTATTCTGGTTCTCATATTATTTTGTTGTATGTGAGCATAAAACAAATCAGAACTGTTTCTTGGGTGGGGCAATTCTGCACAAATCCAGACATAAGAAACTGATTGTGATGCTTTAAAACTGTTAAATTATACATGTAAGCAGATCCCTTTTGTCACTATGATGGCCTGCTAAATCTTGTTTATTTAATAAGCCACTCTTTGCAAGGTTTACAGAGCTACAATACAAAGTAACATATCATACTATGGCTTGCTTCAAATAAAAGTCCTAGCAAAGTGTTCTGATATTCTCATACAAGAATCCTCTACAGAATGACTAAATTTGGCATATCCTGGTTCTCATACAAAGCAATAGTAGCCTTGTAAAAAAAATTATAGGGCAAAAACTTTTTATTAAGCTAGATGAAATTATATAAAGTACATGTTTACAGGAAAGCATCCTGTGTGTAATAAGCAATTCCATGTGTCACTAAAACATAGACATTTTTGAAGGTTTATTTCATGGTTTCAGCCAAATGGACATATTAGAAGAAGAAAGAGAAGAATAGAAGATTTTTTTTAAAAAAAATGTTGATTACAGCCAGTGTAGACTTTACAGTTCCACTAGAGAGGATTAAAACAGATTTAAGATTTACATGTAGAAATGCTCTAAGAAAAAAAAAAGAAATGTACAATTTCTCGAATAAAGAAAAAGCAAAATAGGTACAAAAATCTGGAAGAAAATTGTTATCCAAACATTTCATCCCTCCCATCTCATTGCTTTCTATGGAACAGGAGAGGGGGGAGAATTTCTGCTAAGTTTCAAACAGTCAATTACTTCCTGCTCTTTTGAAAGAGTCATAAAGCCCATTATTTCCTGACTTGGGATTGACAGATTCTAAGTGTTTCTCACTGTGGGAAAGATTTTTTTGGGGGGAAGGATTTCATTCCCAGGGTTGTTTGACCCACAGGCAAACTCTTATGCATCTGTAGGGTCCAGAGCATTCTTCCTGATCTGTGTCTGACTGATCAGGTTGGGAAGATAAAGTTAATACTAATAAGAAACATCTGGCAAATCATGTCAGGCCAGAGTCTGTATTCTATCACCCTCACCATAGATATTAGCAAGGATTTTGACAGATGAGTTTAAAAGCCAACTTTGTGATTAAACAATGAGAAATGAAATTATTGTTATGTTCCATATCTTCTTGCAATGGCACATTCGCTCTTCCACTCTTTCTAGAAAAAAAAAGATGTTTTTTCATATTGTTTTCCAAAAGACACAATGTTGAAAAATACATTTATAGTGGATAAAATGTTGGCAATTCAATGTAGTTATTTTCTATGTCTCTACAGCCTCTTTCTTTAATAGCTCTAAAGCTTCCAAAAAGCAACTTGGACAGTTAAGAGACTCTTACTCTTAAGACAGATATGAGATTCTTGAGAGGGAAAAATTCAGAACTAATTTTCACTAGCAGCAGTTATAATGTTTGCCAGTATTCAGCATTAACTTCTCTTTACCAAGACCCTTGCATTTGCTAACTGAACAGAATAAGCTTCACATATTTTGAGGCTATTCTAGCTAATTCAATCTATCTCAACCTGGTACTTCTAAATGATCCATGTTGATTTGGAACAATGGAAGTAAATGTCTAGCACAAGAAAAAAGTACCCGATTAGGAGAAACTGGTCTAATTTGTAGATTATTAAGGTCTTTTTAATAAAGGAGAATATTTGTAACCCAGTGTTGACATGAGGGATTCTTGGTGCTCTCTGAGATTGCTTATTTTCTTGCAGATGTTTCATTACCCAAACTAGGTAACATTTTCAGTGCTAACTGATGATGTTACCTAGTTTGAGTAATGAAACATCTGCAAGAAAACAAGTAAGCTCAGAGAGCACTAAGGACCTCTCAAGGACATTTTTATCATCTGGGATAGAGATGTTTTAGTGGCAGCTCCCATCAGCCACCAACTATATCTACAAAAATATTGACCTGATTTCTTGATAATGTGCAGTGCTGAGCTGATACGTGAACATTTCTAAATTTTGAGTATAAATTATCCTCATGCATGAGTTCATTTGCAAAGAAGTATTTAAATTATCAAGTCATCATGCTGTAGTTGCAATCATTGCATGAATCATATATTCATTAAAATTCATCAATACAGTAAAAATATGTTATCATGTTCTAGTTTTTCTCTTACAGATATAAACAATGGATTTATCTCTTCAAGGTTATATAATAAATCACATTCTTAAGGAATCTATTTTTATTTTGCTTTGTTGCTGTGGATGAAGAAGAAATATTGTCTTAAAACTGCAAGATGGTGGAACTGCTTAAATAAAAAGATTTGAGCTCAGTTTCAAGCATAAGAGAATGACAGCTTTGTTCAAACTGTTTAATTAAAGAAAATAAATCTTTTATTTTTAAAGATATCAGCCAATAATCTTATTAACTGATTCCATAAATACTTTGTTATAGTTATATTTCTTTAAAACAAATAGAATTCTTGGACTTTATTATTAAAAGGATATTTACTTGCTTAAGGTAGGTCCATTGGCCTATATTTTGGGAAAGACAAGCAGAAACACGGACCATTCTAGATAAATATTTGAATCAACGGTATAATGAAATAAAATACTTGTTTGCAGTTTAATAATGCAGCTGGTTCTCTTCACATTCTTCATGAAAGACAGTTATTTTAGCTTTTGAAGATTTAGAGAAACACTGAAAAATATATCTGACTATACAAGTATGCATACAATTGCAACGGAAATAGTGTTTCTGAATCTAGATCTGCTGACAGAATGTAAGGTTTATAGAACTTTCTTCTGTAGCGTCAAATAGCTTTTTATTGCATATATTTTTTCATTTCTCTCTCTCTTGACTTATAAAAGCTGCTTTTTAAATCTTAATTCACTGACAGTAAAATGAGGTTCTAGAAGTTGCTTGGTCAAATGGTATGTGCAACTGCAGGGATAGATAGATACCTTGCTAGTAGCAGAAGTATGTTATTTCTTTTTGTTCAAGTAGCACAATTATTCTTTAGAAAGGTTAGCTTGATTCCTTCTCAGAAATTGTATGCGTTTTATGCATACAATGTTCTGTATCATCAGGCTTTTAATTATTATTCAATGTTTCATATTATCATACTTAACTTTATATTATCATACTTAACTTTTACTATATCGACTGTATTTATTCTCTGCCATACTGGCTGAAGTTGAAAAAATTGTATTCCAGCATATCAGAAGATGATTGGAGACAGTTACTGAGTTCTGATCAGCTGTGTGTCTCCCAGGAGTTTTCTGAGCCCAGTATTCTTGGATATTTTATTGGCAGATGGCAGGATTGAACACAGATCCTTTGTTTAGAAAGCCCATGTATAAGATCAGTCAGCTGTTGCACCTTTGTAGGGTTACATATGGGGGGAGGGCTTCAATGATTAGATTGTGTTTTAATTTTCATTTAATAGTTAAGCTGAATTGTTTTCCTTTGTTACTAACACTAGATTTTATATACTATATATTTTTCTTCAGTTGGTCAGTAAAACAGTATATATTATAATAGTTGAAATAATAAATATGCAGTGAATGTTGGTGGACGATTGTGCCTATTCATACTTGTTTAGTGGTTTTTTACTTAACAAAAATCTAACAAATTTAATTTTTAAACTCATTTAACAGATATGGGAAACGATCCAGCCCAGAGACGCTGATCTCCGATCTTTTGTTGCGAGAAAGCGCAGAAAACATTCCTAGATCTAGGTAATAGAAAAGTAGCTTTCGAGAGTTATTCCTGTAAATTGCTCAGAACTTTATTTGCACTGTAAACTACACTATCTTTAATTTAAAGCCCAGGTTTTGCGTGGACAAATCTGGGATTTTACCTATTCTGGAATGTTGATGAGTTCTGTATTCTACATTGAAAGTTGATAAATCTTACTTGGTGTCTGAAAAGAAAAAAGGAAAAGAAAAAAGAAGGAACTGCTATCTCACTCCATTGTGATTCCAAGTATGAATGTTATATTGGTCTATGAACAGACTGAGTCTTACACGGATAATATTTATTGCCACATTCTTCTCTTATTCTTTTTCTTTCTCAGTCCCATGAAAAACAAAATCTCTGATCCTAATTTTAGCTGAATAACTATTCCTACAATGCTTCTATTTGACATAGTAGGTTTCCACCAAAGTTAAGGAATGCTCAGTCATTTTTATTACAAAATCAGACAGATAAACATATATTTAACAATTCAGCAACAATATTAAAATAGATTATCTGGATGACATCAGTTAAAAACTTACTTTTAATGGTGCCTTTCTTCAGTTCTCACATCCTTTTCTGCATGTTTTAATGGATTATTTTTTTTATTCAGATTTAGCATATATTTTTATATACCTATTGTAAATTCCTTTAAATATTTCAATAGATTGAAGGTTCTGTCAAAGCCAAACTTACCCCAAAATAACTTGTTCTTTTCTGCTTTTTGTTAAAATTCTGAAATTTGTTACAAACTTTTTTAGCCAATATATATATATGGGCTCATAGAGGAATCTGTGATATTGTCCAATGCTCTAACTTGATTGTATTTATGGATATTTGGGGGAGGGGCAAATAGGAAACAAATTACAGTATATATGTTATTACACTGTGAGGTGAACTACATTACTTTAGATGTGATTTTATAATTGCACCATTTGTACTGTGACATCATAATATATGTGTTGTCTTTTCAATATTATCTTAGGTTGCTATGCATACAGTTGCTTATACAGCGGTACCTTGGTACTCAGCTGCTTTGAAATGCATCGAATTTGGTACTCAACACATTTTGACATGAACATTTTGTCCCAGTACTCATTGTTTGTTTGGTACTCAATGTATAAGCTAGAATCTGTTAGTGTCGGCGGCCTTGTGACTCACTACATCAATTTGTTTGATGCTCATTGCTTTTGGTATCATCATGCCTCTCGGAACCAATTAATGATGAGTACTGAGATACCCCTGTATTATTATCTGAAAAGAGTTGTTTCCATTACTAAGAGGAAAGAGATCATCTCTTGTTCAGAGATGCTTTAATTCCCAGCCATCTTAGATTCAAATGAAATTCAGGAAATGAACAACTTGCCTTCTTCAAATGCAGGATTTTAAAATTATTTCTAAATGGATATGGAGGGTCCTTGATGCTCTCTGTGTTTGCTTGTTTTCTTGCAGACATTTCATTACCCAAACAAGGTAACATTATCAGTGCTAGTTTAGATAATGAAACATCTGCAAGAAAACAAGCAAGCTCAGAGAACACCAAAGAACCATCATGTCAACCCTGAGCTGCAAATATTCTCCTTTATTAGTAAATGGATAAGTGTCAGTGGTTTGTGGTAAAACTATAAATTTCTGACTATAGTGAATGTTGGCAGCTATCATTCTGGAGGAAAAACAGAAGAATAAAACAGAAAATGGATATATCCCAGAAGAAAGGCCACATTTAAATTAGTATGTGTTTTTATAGATGCTAAGGCAAATAGTTGTTTCTAATAATGTCTCCACATCAGTTGCTGGTCAATGTAATCATAGAGAGATGATAAAAATGTTCCTCTCTCCTTATTCTATCTGATATGGTGGGAAAGATTTATAGAAAGGCTATAACCCTGTTCTGATAAAGTAAGTTTATGCTCAGTCACAGTCATAAAGTTTTCCCATTGCATGGAGAAGTCAAACTGTATTCAATTGAAAAGTGCAGTTGCCTATCTTTGCATTTTCAACATCAGCACAAAGAAGTAAATGTGTTATACACTTTCTATGCTTATAAAGTGAAATAATAGGAGGATCTTGATTCAGCACCCTTTTCTTTTCAACTGCATTTTCTCATTTTCCCCCCACATGGTGAGCCCCTTGATGTCGCCCTTGGAGCTACTCTGATTACAATCCCTCATTGTTTGAAATAAAAGTTGATAACACACATAAATAAACACTGATAAATGCTTTGCCTAGTTTTCCTTTTCCTAACTGAGTGTCCTTTGTAAAATTTGGGACTTTAGGTTCCAAATATTGAGAATATTTAATTATTCTAGCTCAGAATTCTAGTAACTTGAGTTCCAGTATACTGTACCCGGAGGGCCAAAAATTGAGGACTCATGTCATGCAATAGAATCCCAAAATTTAGCATCTATCTCAGAGAAGATGTTCAAACTGTTCAAACATAATTTGTATGTATTGAACAATATATCACACACTGCATGTGGATGTAATTTATAAGCTGTAAGACACTTGTCTCCTTTCATATGATGAATCGTGTTACATCAGCAATAAGGAATCCATGTTCTTCCCCATTTCCCTGCTGGCTGAACCTGGTGAAACTGCAATCCAGCAACATTTATCAGTCTAAAATGTCTCCACTTTTAATTTATTCACTGAGACTAAATATAAAGTAACTAGCATGACTAAGTTCTCCTAAACTTACTGATACAGAATAAACTTACTTATTCCAGAGTAAGGAGTAGTAGAAAAGTAAAAAATAATATGTCTGATAATAGTTTTTACATAATCAACTGTTGATTATGTATAACTAAATAATACATTTTAAATATAAACATTTCATTATATTGTTAAAATAATGATCCTGCATGCAAAGAGGAAAGACAGATAAGTTCTATTTATTAATACATAGCTAACAAGTCAGTTTGCTTGATAAGTTTAAACTCTTGGAATTTTCTTTAGTGGCATACCAAAAATGAAAAGAAATAAAAAATCAGAATTTACTGTGTTTTAGAAGAAAAATATTACCTTTCCCTTCCTTCATGTGTAAATTGTAATTCAAATATGCAAAATATTATAAATTCAGTTGTATTATGATAGCTCATTGCCTATGCCTCTTTCAAAGATCCAAGACTATATAATGCTTTTTAATTTTCTTGCAGAGACATTTGAATCTTTCCCCCTTTTTTCATATTGTGTTGCAGGTATGAAGATCCTGCAATGTGGTGATGGGAATCACAGCTGACTTTCATAGTTCTTTCCTGGTTTCCACTCCATGTGCCATTGGTTAGTTGATCAGTTGGAAGTCCACCCACCAGTGCATGCAGTCATTGTCCTGAATTCTGTAGATTTTTTCTCCCTTCATTATCCTTGTACGTATGTTTATTTAAATAAATAACTTGTGTACTCTACATGGGAACATTTTAATGCAAGAGAGTCACTCTAATGAGGAGCGATTTTTCAAGCTATTAAAATTTAATTTACAACTTCATTACTGTCTAAAATAGCATGTATAATAATTGTAGCACCCAACCTAATAATTGTATAAAGAGTAGCATTTGTTTTACATATTTGGTCCAGGAGCTCATTTTTAAGAATTGATTTCTACAACATTATTTATTTCATAACTATTGCTGCCTATGACACAACTGAAAAAAAAATAAAATTATGTGGAAAGTGCATATTTCTCTAATCGGTGTACAGAATATTATTTATTGTCTTGACAACTATTTATTGTATCATTTTTATGAGAAGAAGAGAATCTACTAATATTCCAATGGAATATTCCAACTAATTAAGAAATGCATATTAATATCGTTGCTACTCCATGTATTTTATGATTATCAAGGAGAGGAGGGGCAGAAGAAATAAGAAAACAAATATTTTTTTTAAGAAAACAGAAAAAAAATAATTTACAAAGATTAAACATTACTGCATAATCTTTACTAAATGGCTTACTAAATAGAACCCAGTCTGTCACCAATGGGCCCAAACTTTGGGGACTGCATGGAAGGTCCCCCCCAGTGCTACTGGGAGCTGAAAAGAGCCTATCAGCTTCCTTGCCAACCAAGTAGCCCCTGAACTAATCAGAATCATGGCATAATGGCTGATAGTGCTACGGTGTTGTATTCACACATGATGCCATGCTCTGGCTTTTAAAAATATAATTTAGTGAATGAACCATCACTAACCAAGATCACATAATTGATTGAGCCAAAACCAAATAAATCACATGATGTCATTTGCGTGTTCTAAAGCCAATGACTTTCATCTTATCCCTGTTCTCCCAGATAAGTTTATCTCCTTGTTTTTCCCAGATGTATTTATGTCAGCCTGTCTGCCTGCCCACTTTTCAAATTACGCCCTCATAATAATTATGGGAGAAGAGTCAGCATAGCTGGGCTCTGTTCTACAATGCATGATTGTCATATTATATTCTTCAAAAGTAATTTCTGGCACTTTCATCGGGGACTCTTATCCTGAGGAATTTCTCTGCTTCCATAATTTATTTGTTTCAGTCAGTCAGTGAATCAGTCCTGAATCCTGTTGACTGCTTGGACTAGTCCTTGCAGTTTTCTTGGCAAGATTTCAGAAGAAAAATTACCTACTAATTGGCTATCCCCATACATACAATAAATTTGTCCACCACCTTGTATAAAGAGCTGCCACATTCATGGTAAGGTTGCTTGTTTTGGAGCGGAGTTGGATCTAGAAGGCACTTGGACGGTGGACCATCAAGAAATCCTACAGCTATAGACTAGCCTGAGGATTAAAAATCATTCCAGAAGAAGAAAATGGCAATTCCCTTTGGCATGAAAGGAGTCCTAATATAACAGCAGTGTTTATTTGTACTAGTTAGCCAGTTAAATTATTTAGTTATGATGGAAGGAATGCTTCTCATGTGGAAAATTTAGAAAATAAGGTCTGTATTTGAAAGGCTGTAGTGACAGATATTTAATAATGGAGTCCTGAAGAGAATAATTTAATTTGCCCTGCTCTATTTCTTCCTTGTAAGAAGATTGGGAACCAATCTTTGAGATGGCTGCACCACTGCTGAAAGGCTCATAAAGATTGATGCTTAATTCCAGACTTAATTAGGTAGAATGCCAGAAGTGTCTCAAACATTGCAATGGGAGCTTCATTTTTTTTTAATGGGCATGATTTTTTACCATTTCTCATTATAATACAAAGATCCTAAAAGTAGAGAAAGAAAAAATCAGGACATTTTCTTTATGTATTAAAGTTCATAACAACTATAATTTGTTTAATAATGATTTTTAAATAAACCATGGTCCCAGGGATGACACATAACTTTAATCTATAAAACCATAGTTTGTAAATTGTTGTGTCTGGATTCATATAACACACTGACCAAAATCAATAAACTACCTTATTATAATGTGTGAACACAGACACTTTATGCCTCCAACAATGTGCAAATGGAGATAGAAAGGGGCAAACTCTTTTCATGGATTAGTGGAAAACCACAAAACTGCCAGCATAGTCCAGCAAAAAAGATAGGGAGCATCAGCCCAGTTCCATGCAACGTGATAATGAAGAGAATAGTGAAGTGGAGGATATTGTGCTTTGCCCTCATATAAGCAAATTTGGTTGCTTAAATGATCCCATGTATCAAATTCTTTTAACTTAAAAAAATGCTTTAACAGCAAATGTAGAATAATGACCTTGTGCTCAATACTTATTACTATTGTCATTAGGACAGCCTGGCAACACCAACTTTGCTTCCTGGAGCAAAGGTTGTCCATCCCTCAGTTGTCCCTTATGCATCTCCTTTCTTATTGCAAAATTCCAAAGAGTTGCAAAAGATGACTAAAGACAACTAAAACAGAACAATGCCATACAGTAGAGATAGTCTTTATTTAATGATCACTCATTTAGCAGTTGCTCAAAGTTATGATAACACTGAGTGAAGAGACTTACAACCTGTATTTGCAGTTGAGATTGTTACAGCGTCCCCCATGGTCACTTGACCACAACTTGGGCTTTTGGATACTGGCACACATAATGATCTTGAATTGTCTGATCACATGACCACCATTTGAAACCTTCCCTGTCAGCTTCTGACAAGCTTCCTCAAAGAGGAAGCCAGTAGGAAGTCACAAATGACAATCATTGACATTGCGCTTAATGACCATACAGCATTAGCTTAATGATGGCAACTGGAACTGCTGTTGTTAGTTGGTGTGTTCATGAGATGCTACACTTTGGGACCATATATTTTAGAAATAGATTTGGTGGTCCCAACTGCCATCATTAAACAAGGATTACCTGCATGCAGGCACAATAGACAGGTTCTGTTGATGCCCAGTGATGCAAATTACTCTGCTTTGAATGGCTAGATTAACTGACATTGAACATACAGCTTACAAATGTCATTATGTTTAATGTCTGGAAATGCAAATATAAACAACATTACCATAGAAGGTCATGAATGCATGACCAATTTCAAACTCATGTTTCTTCCTTAATCATACTGATCTCATGAAAGTGATATTCCAAAACGGCATGTGTTCAGACTTTAATTTTAGTTTAATGGATGTGAGTTATCACTGTAACCATATGCTAAAATTTAGTTAAAAATTAATGTCAGAAAACAGTTCCAAGCAGACCACCTGGAATAATAAAGGCACAGTTATTGCTTCTACCATTCTTCAATAAGAGTTATTAATTTTGCCACGAGTTAGTACATCTGGGTTTTTCCATTATCACACTGTTTCTCATAATTCCTCAAGGTTTTAGGCAGGATCCCAAATTAATACAATTTCCTATTATTCACAGAATATTAATCGTCATGGCAGACCACAGCTCTTCTTTTCAGACTGAGAACATCTGTTAAGTCAGGGGGTGACATCAGTCAGAAATGATGAGTCATCCTTCTGGATTTACACTTGGCTGGATGTTCTCATCTTTTATTTGCTATCTTGCCTGGACTCCAAACCAAATGTGGGAAGTGAGAGAAACTTATGATTAAGGTTCTTGCACAAACTATCTGTTTGCTGCAGTGTGAATTTAATATAACTCTGCATTGAAATGAAGAATTTATTTAAAATGGCATAAAACTCCAGCTGAGATAGTACTGCCTTATCTGGCTAGTCCAGAAGTACCATTTACATTTCTTCCCATGTCAGTGAAGGCTTGTTTTGCCATAGCATCTCTATTCTAAGAATGGTTGATTTTCCCCTTTTTCAGAACTGTCACAACACCATATGGATATTTTTTTAAGTATCAGCTGGGGAGAGTTATTAACTAGAAACTACTTCTAAAAGTGCTGAGATGATTGTCCTTTTTTATGCAGATAATTGTTTCAACATATTCTCTTCTTCCCTCTCTGCCTTCCCTTCTCTGCCCTCTTCACGATACCCAAACTGGAGAACCACTTCAGCTATCCTATTGGGATATTCTGTGCCTCCCAGCCTCCATAATAGAAATGAACCATTTTTTCATTAAGATTCTTGATTATGGGAGCCTCTCCATATTCTCATTCCAGACTGGGGGCTTCCTCCAATATCTGTCTCTGACCCAGGGAGCAGCAATCTTCTGTGTTGTGTTTTACTGTATTGATGATCAGCAATAACTAGGATAGGTTCAGCCCCATAGCACTTTTCTTGTGGATTTCCATCTTCCTCTGCTTTCATGGGGCCAGGGCCAGTTTAGTCTGGACTCTGGTCTCCCCCTCCCAACACCTGAACTTCACAGAGACTCTTTTTCATCCCTACTACTATGTCCCTCCCTTCTTCCCTCTCTTTGGCTTCCTGACTACCTTGCTGGTGATTTTACCACTACGGTATCCAGCTGTGAACCACCAAATCTTCTTGTTTCACCTTGTTTCAGCTGCTCCTGGAAATTAATTTGTTGTAAAGATTATGTACTGTACCTAAACACCTTAAAGAAAGAGAGGAGGAAAAAGCAAGCAAAGCCAGAAAGCAAATGAACAACGAAGCTATCTAGACAATGTGGCCTTTAATATATGAAGATCAGTAAGTCTGGAACCAGAGTAGCTCAGAAGACAACTACTAGGTGAAAATTGCACCTAGGTAAGACTGAGGTAAGCAACAACAGCAACAATCAATGAGGCATAGCTGAGATAGAAAGCAAAAGAGCTGCTATAAAAAAGAGAACCAGACTTAAAGCTGGCTGAGAAAAAACATATGCGAACATGCAGCATCTAAAGCTGCAACTTCTTTCCTCCTTCCTTCTCAGCTCCATGATCAGTAGGTATGCAATAAAGTTAACAAGGAATTAAACTAGTTGGTGGTTGTCTTGCTATTTTTGGGGAATCACTTGCTCTCCTTTATCCCTTGGACGTTGTTGTCTCATTGAAAGATATGTGTGTTCTCATATAATATCCTGATCACTGATCAAGAGAAGAGTGGAAAAGCAGCCAATGACGCCATCCATATCCAGTCTTTAGACTATTCCGTTTCAGCGGTATGTGAAATTATGCTTTGAAATTACTACTTTGCAACAAAAATAATATCATTTCATATTTTGATGGATAATTACTTTTTTTTAGAATTTTTATTGGCCCAGCTTTTTTTTTTGTCTTCAGTTTTACTCTTAAAGGGAGCATAGCATTGGACTGGATAGATACTGTGGGAAGTCAGAGCCCCAGAGAAGGAAATATTAAAAGGACAGAAAAATATATTTTTCCTCAAAGG